CTCTGAAGACAACGGCTTTTTTCACAAGAAGAAGTTCTTTATCGTAATTGCATTATACGAAAAGTTCACTGTTGCCTCAGCAGTGGCACAAAAAGTCAAAAAGAGCAAGAAATAGAGAAACATGGTTAGAGAAAATAAAAAAAGATGATTGAAAACACTAAACACAATATGTTTATTTGTAAATGATGATGTACATCGAGAGATAGTAAGTACGCATTGGCGGGCGGCCAGCAGGGCAATTGCTCCCAATCACCCCTCCTGGAAAAAAATATCAAGAGCATAAGCAGTTATTGCCCTGTGAAGAATTATATTTCGAATTATATTTTTTTTTTTTAGTTTTTTTATAGTTTGTGTATGCACTACTCTAAAAAATGTATTGCCCCCCTAAACATTTTTCCCGACCCGCCCATATAAGTACGATTAAACAACAAAAGAAGTAGAGATAAAAGGCAAATGAATCGAGTCAAAAGAGTTGAGTATTTACAGTTCTCCACGTTCCATTTATATGCACTTAAAGAAAAGAATGAGCTCATTCGAAGAAAACTATCTCAGAAATTTTCAAATCTACATTCAATATTTTCTCCAGTGGTGGCTTTTGAAACACCCTATATAATTCACACTTTATATTGCTCCATGTCAACATGATACAATAAGACACTTATTTTTTAGAAAATACTTTTCATTATCAGAGAATTAAAATCGACGGTGTGCCCACTTCACTCTAATTCTTCGTTACCGATGATATCAGAAGATCAAGATATGCAGACTGATGATCTGAGAATGCGTTTGTTAAAATTAAAAGACGATGATTATTCCAAAATTCCAGGTGAATTAGAGCGACTTATCAATAATACCGATATTAACAACGAAGAAAAAATTAAACAGTTATGCCATAAGTTACTACTGCACTGTCAAATACTACAACAAAGTGATCTACGACGATTACTCGATTTGATATATACGGTTTTGAATAAGGTCTTGTATATTGTTCAAAGGCATCGAGAAAATGTAATGAAATACACTTTCACGTTGAGTACCTTCATGCACTCTCTCCTCGAAATAGTAGAACAATTCGAACTATATCCTAATGAGGTATTATTTAACCGTGAAACATTCATCACTTATTTGGAACTATTTAACTCAAGCCTTATGATCGAATATTTAAAAGATCAATTAGACAACGAACAACTAGCACAATTATGTGCTAGAGTGATATGGATCATCGTATTGATAAATACAGAAGCATCGAGACTCTCATCACTCGAGAAGAATGACCTCGAAAACTCAACAGTTCTATTCGAAAGTATAATGAACCACATCACTGCTCATGTCGGAGAGGAAGATGCTAGCTTTCAAACACAAATACTTCTAGGCTTGCTGTGGAATCTCACAGATAAAACTGTTCTGGTACCGTTTTTTGTTGATATCGGATATCCGAAAGGAGTCATACTTTAAAGACGCCCAGCCTTGGGAAGTGACGAATCACCAAAATTTGAATGTCCAGAATACTGTTGAAAGGACGGAGATGGAAAAGAAAGAAAATCTGTTCTTATGAATTTGATTTTTTCAATAAAAAGTACGTCAAAGGGATTTCAGATAACTTTGATCTTGGTCCAATAAGGCATGCAACGGTAACGATTATCGCTTCTTACCGATTATCGGTTAACCGATCATCAGTCCTTACCGATTATCAGTTCTTATCGGTTAATCGATTATCGCTACTTACTGACTACACTCTAAAAAAAAGTCGTAGATTAATAAACTATTAAAACGAGTTTATTAAGACCAATAAACCTTTTAAAAAACGCTTTTCCGTTTTTTATATCCAAAAAACTAAAAAGAGTTTTTTAAAAGATTTATTGGTCTTAATAAACTCTTTTTGATAGTTTATTAATCTACGACTTTTTTTTAGAGTGTATCGTCTACCGATTATCGACCAAATTTTATAAAAGAATTGCCCTAAGACTCACAAGATGTCGGTCCATTCATAAACATAAAAATGTTCGAGACTTTCACAGTGGAACTTTCCAATGGACTCGATCAAAGTCAATGAAGTATGCTAATATTATTCAAATAGCAAAAAAATGTTCTGACTTTGATCGAGTTATTTGGAAGGTACCGCCAGGGTCGCAAATAGGAGCAGAACATTAGGGGGTGTAAAACAAAATTTCTCTTTGAGGTAGTGTGAAATTGATAAAAAATATTTTGTGCGAGGAATAATGGATAAAATAACAATAGCTTTTTCAGTTATTCGGGGCGTGCGCATTAAAGTGAGTTATGAAGAATAAATTGAACTAGAGTCATATATACATCTGCATATGCGAGAAGGGGTATTTCTTATTTGCTAGTTCTCTGATGTAAGGAAGAAAAGAAACGAAACGAAAAAGATGATGACTTTATCCTTGCTACAAACCCACTTTCTCTATTTCGATTTTGCTCAGCAAACCTCAGAAACATATCGGTTTTATCGATAGGAAGCGATAATCGATAAGAAGCGATGATCGGTAAGATACCATAAAACCGATAACGATAATCCGATAAATTATCGTTACCGTTGCATGCCTAGGTGCAATATTTCCAGTCTGTATGCAGTCTCCTTCAGAAAAAACAAATTCGCAATTTTGATCTCTAATAACTTTTTCCGGATTTTAAGATCGAAAATCAAAGTTATTTAAAGTCATATAGTTCGATTCACCTTCTAAGCTAATGACGAAGCTGGTGTTTATTTTGTATAAAAACGTTATTTTGGTAATGAAAGTGTTAAAATTCAGGGATTTTTGCCATTTTTGAGAATATCTAGTAATTTGAGAAAAAAGCGTATATATTTTTTTCTTTTAAAATGTGCTTATTGGATAAAGCATAAAAAGTTGTACCTACACTCAAAGGACCCTGTCCGATTTCAACAGTATGTTGAACTAGAAAGCTTTATATCAGGTTTTGTAGAACTTCTCGCGGCGGATCTAAATCTGTATTGGAATTGCGCTAATACCTTCTGGTTACCGAGATATAGATGTTACCATGTTTTAGGTCTATAATCGGTATTGATGTAAGAAGAAAAATCGAGATTCGGTAATGTAATACAATGAGATGTTGTCTTACCAATATTCTTGTAGAGCAATGAAACCTGTACAAACTAGTTCGATAATGGATAATAGAGCCTAGTTCTTCTAGGAAAAATGGGTCATTTATGAAAAAAAATCGATCATACACATACTGCATGTGCGCAATAAAATAGCTGTAAAATCCAAATGATATGCAGAACCAAATTGCGGTTGTGTCAAAAACTGTATGAGTATGAGCTCTATCTGCCACATTCATGTAGAGGTCTGAAATCTACCTGCGTCTATGGGAAAAAAATCTTTACTGGAAAAAAGTATACCAGAATAAGGTATATTTTGGCCTTAAACTTGTTATTTTTCTGGTCCAATTTACTTATCAACCGCTTTTGACGCCATATTCGTAATCTCCGAACAAAATTGAGTCGGACGGAGTATTATACATATGGTCAACACACAAAAAGGTTTTTGGGAACAAGAAGTCCTAAGGGGGGTCTTGACGAAGTCTGTCTCTCGAAAAACACATATTTACCGGCCAAGTCACATGTAGTTTTATAGAGTGTTGAATTCTGAACAAAATGCATCTTTTAGGTTCAGCTTATGTTACAAGAGAAAAGTATTTATACTCAATTTATATATAGTATACACGACGATATTGAACGTTGCAAGATCATTGGTGAGAAAATCTTGCCAAAAAGGGATACAAGTTTCTAGCTATACACAATTAGATAGCCCGTGAAATTCTGTACAAACAAAGCCAGTCAGAATATCTTGACTGATGGTACCAGTCACAAAAGACAATACAGATTTAGATCCGCCGCGAGAAGCTCTACAAAACCTGATATAAAGCTTTCTGATTCAACATACTTTTGAAATCCGACAGGGTCCTTTTCCTATTAGTACAAAATATTGTTAGGTTATAGTGAAAAAATTCAGATATTTTTGGAACTTTGATTCGTATTTCGAATTACTGATCCTGTGAACGGATATCAAAAGCGTTGTCAAGCAGATATTTTGAAACAGCAAACATTTCTGCATATTTGTGATACTTTTCAATATTTCTAAATCGCTTTTTGAACTGATGGCAGATCAATTTTGAACGAATGTCCTTCTGTGTAGAAGAACTCCATTTTTCCTATGAATTTGACATCTGTTTCACTCTTAAAGATGATATTCGTGATCAGTACAAAAAATTTCTGCATCTAATCCATGTAGTTTCAGCAAAACAAGAGGAACAGGTTTCCACAAGTATTAAGAATTTCATTTCGAAATTTCACCAAACTAAGCGGTGAAACATCATTCTGACATGTTTTATGTCGAGAAAATAAAATCCATTGGAGATACGTTTGTTTTCATATTTGTTTCCGTCCTTTGTAGCATTTTCATTATATAGCGGGATGTGTAGATCGTGAATCAATCTTCTGGACACTGTAACAGGTCGACTCAAGTCTCAAAGTCACTTAATAAAGAGGTACGTGTTCTGGCTGGGTCGCTGCTGTCTTCATTCAACTAGCTCAATGTCATTATTACTATAACTCTTTACTAATCTACTCCGTGTAATGTAAGCTAATAAAGAAATTACTGACAATGACCTTCAGTTTCATCCACAAAACACTCGCAAGGGTTCCTGAAGATGCTTCAGTACCAACCACTATCGGAATAATCCTAAGTAACCTACATAAATTTGTGACCAGCGCTAGTGCTGCGCCGATTTCTCCGTCTGATTTCAACTACACTAATGTTGTTTCTGAGCAGCCATCTTCATGAGATGCACAAATCTTCGAACTTACGAGGAGTAATTAGTTATACTTAATAAAGTAAGCAAAACATTTCGACCACCGAATAAACAAATTTTCTGAAGCAGTTGTTCTCGGATGGAAAATCGACGAAAACAGACACAGAGAAGTAGCATTTAAAACTCTTGCGTTTCCCCGAACATCATTAATGTATGATGCCAAAGCCTTTTTACAATGGATGGCAATTTCTATGTCAAAAAACCAGTATACTAGTTCACTCATGCCAATTGTGTACAATACCGCTCGGCATTATCAAGGTGCTCAGATACTTAGAGATCAGCAAGCGGGTGATCACTTAGCTATGTATAAAAAGCAAGTAATCGAAAAACATGGAAAAGAAATTGACGCAGCAGAAACAGCGGAAATAAATTTATATCAATCTATGACCACTGCTTTAATGTTAGAACCGGAAGAAATAAAAAAGGATGAAAAGACCACGAATAATATTCTTGATACAATACTGGATTTAACAATAGAAGCATCCCAATCAGCAACGCTAAGAACAAACACACTCTTACATATATCGGAATTGCTTGTCGTCTTGACTAAGATATTCGTGAATGACGATGTGGTTGATTACGTTCTGAAACACGCTCAAGTAGAAAATCACATTCTAGTACAGTCGAGAGTACAATTTTTCTGTGATCTTCTAATACGTACTAAAATCGATAATCAAAACGACAACTTATTACAACTTACATGTATTACATTATTTAACATTCTGTGGAGTATTTCTTTCAATGATAAATATCAAACAGAAATGAAGCAGAATGAGCTATTTGTAAGTGCGATAAAAGCGACTGCTGAGAATGGAAATAATGAAGAGTTATTTGCGCAAAACAGCTTTCAGAAACATTTGTCAAGCATAAAAAAAGCAGCTGATGGAATACTATTTAATTTAAACCTCGAAAAAGTCTCAAAATTACCGACAACATATTCTACGAATGCTAGTCCCTCTATTTTTATTAGTTACTCACATGGCGATAAAGTATTTTGTAAAAACTTAATTGATACTTTACAACAGTCGTCAAAAAAAACGCATTTCTGGGTCGATTTTCTTAATATTAACAGTGCAGTAGTACATTCTGATGATCTGTGGGAACAGATTGCTGAGGCTATCGAAAAAGCAGATGCCATTATTTTGATTATATCGAAAAACTACTACGACAGTAAATCGTGTCGGCAAGAACTCTCATACGCCAAAGACATGCAGAAAAAGCGAATAATACCGATATATATGCAAAAAGAGTACAAGCCAACGGGATGGTTAGGCATTCGAACAGCCGGCTTAGCCTACGTCGATTTTAGTAAAAAAGCGTTTGACATCGCATTTAAAGAACTGAGTGAAATACTAAATAAATCAACGGAGATCATCCCACAACTTGAGCAAGCCTTAACGTTAGTAGATAGTGATCCGAAGCATACAACGTCAATTGATTCGAATAGTTCGATAGCATTAGAAAAGCCTACAACTACCTGGATATTGGAGGATATCAATTTATGGTTCGAGAAGAATCGTATCAGTACTGAACTAAGAATGTTATTTGACTTTCAAGATGGAGCCGAACTACTCACCTATGCCAGCGATTTGAAATCCAATTTAAAACGCGAAGAAAAAAATACTCGTATACACTTTGAAAAGAAGCACAACGAGCCGTTAAGTACCCTTCAATTTAACCGATTCAAACAAGCGCTGTACCGTTTAATAGATGTACAAAATCCTGCCAAAAGAAATGATTTGTCTCATAGCGGAAATTCACTAGTCTCACGAATTTGTTGTATGATGTGAAATCGAATACTTTACTCCCACTCAGCATCAAATCTCTTACCATTCGATATCTACAAATATATGACAAGTATCTTATAGGCTTAACAAACTTTTGTTAGTCAAAGTTTTTATGAAAACCGTTCATTACATCCCTAACACATAACTATCATGGTCGAATTCCGACGATTTTCGATTAATAATACAATGTTTATGTACAATTTCCACTGGTATTGATCGAGCTCTAAGACTAGGGTAAGGCAAAACTCATGCACTATCTTAGAAAAGCCCCCTTTTCTAGCATTTTAGTAACTGTCCACCGTGTCATAATGTCTAATAAAAACGGATGTTTGTGATGCTTATAAGATTTTAATGAAATCTGAAACCTATAGTTATTCTGGTGGTCCCTAAAACAAAGTAAAAACGTAAAGTAAAGTAAACTTTCCGTTGGTCAATTAGATCAATCAGGTTCGGAAATTAATATGAATCGTCTGATTGACGAATCATAAGGTAGGTAACAGTTTCCACTCACGAGGGAACCGTCCCTCGTGATTTATCCCATTTTCAACCATATTTTGCCCATGTATAGGGTCTGTTGCCTTGAGAAGAAGCAGAAAAGGATTCGGTCCCGGTTACTTTCTTCGAAACTTGTGGAATATTTTCATTTCGAACAGGCGGGCGATCCCTACACAAAGTTGTTTATAACGCAGTCAAAACAGTGATTTAAAAGCTCAAATTCTTATCTCATTACAGCGTCGTCATCTACTAATAATCGCCAAGAATTCTGACCTTTTTCATACTGAATGAATTATCTTATAGAGAAAATAGCAATTCTGATTATGTATTGTATCATTGCCAAATCCGTGCGGCAGAGGGAAGTCAATGGTGAGATAGATAAACATTTTTGTTACCACCGTCTAAATTCATTGACGATTCCATACACAGTATCTTAGTGACTGAAGAATCTTGCAGTGAAACTTTTGTAATATATCTAAAAGAGAGAAACTAAATTCTGTACATTCAGTCATAAAGATCACCGATCCAAGCAAAGACGTACCGATCCGAACACCGAAAAAAAGCTTTCTTTACCGTCTGACAGACCCTATCCTTTCAGTCTAGGGGATTTCTTGGTTGATGGTTGCTTTTAATTCAATACTTTAGAAGCTCTTCTCTTTTTTTTGCCTGTATGTTTCTCTGAGGGCGCGTTTACGTTGCTTATACCGTTCGAAGAAGCTTTCCTGGTCACGAAAGAAAGTTGGAAATTGGTTGTTTAATTGCATCGCAATAGGGTTAAAATCCCTGGTCGATCTCGAAAGGAAAACAACACCATCCATAGAACGGATGCTGAAGTGCTTCAGAATGAAGCACTTCAGCATAACTTTATCCTTTTGCACAGGCTTCTACTGCCTTCCAGAATCTTCTTACTAATTTTCGATCGATTTCGCTGTTCTCGAAATATTCACGTGATTGATCCATTAAACACAGCAGCATTGGAAAAGTTTGATCTGTTCTTTTACGAACAAACGCCTTCCTTGAACACCAAACTGATTCTATCGGATTAAGCTCGTACTGAAATTTTAGACAGTAGATAACTTTCATTTTATACTTGAGGCCAAGTTGCTTAAGTTTTCTGCTCTATGAATACGTACGATAAAAATTTGAAGGCTCTACCTATTTTTGTTCAGTTCCCGCTAGGATAATGGAAGGGCTGGATTTTTTAATTATTTCCTTGTTTTATTCTGTGAAGAATTTTACCTCGAAAGCTAAAAAAGTGAAGAAAATGACGTATAACTTTTTCAACAGTGTAAAAGAACGACAGCCTAGCTGCAAAATCACCCTCTTTTATTTCTTCCCGTAAACATGCTTAACTTTGACACGTTAAATAACATTGTATCAGAAAAGTGATAAGAAACAACAAAAGGATCAAGAATTCAAATGTACGAGTTCTTCCCCCGTTTTACCTTTAATCATCATTAGAAAATATGTTTGCTGAAATTTTATGAAGAAATATGATGATAAGCAGGGAAGAAACCAACTTTGACGTGTCTTGATGTGCTATATGAGAACGACTAGCGTTGTCAAGTTCTGCATATTCATGAACGGACGAGATGGCTGCCTTTCTACGCAGTAACGAATTGGAGATCGAACGGACAGGTACTCACGCCAATGTTCCAAACAACGATGTTGCTCGTCTGATGTATTATCTGAATTGCGTGTGCACATCGATCGACTGCAACAACGATCCAGATATTCAACGTTATACAAACTTCATGAGCTGGACATACTTGTCCGTCGCTGAGCAAAAAGCGCTTCTCCGCCTCTGCTATGCATTCAGTCCTGACGTCCTGGACGATAAGGTTTTTTTTCACAGTGATGCTTTGTGTGGTAACTCCTCGAATGAGTTCTACAAAATAAGTCAAGTTAGTCATGCTATCGTGGCCTCCGAATCGATCGTCATAGCTGGACGAACACGTCAAGTCAATCAGATCATGACATATAAGATGCAATGGATGAGAACAAATTACTTTGAACCAATGCAGCGACTTGCAGCGAGAATGAATGCTCAATCTCAACCTCTTGCTGTGAGCTACACGCCTACAACACATACTTTGACCTACACTCCGACGTATATCCAACAGCCGGTGAAACAAAAAACAAAGTGTAATGGCTGGTGTATTTGTGGCTCTCTGTGCTGTGCTCTGTGCTTGATCGTTGCTGTTATTGTTATTATAACTGTTGTCGTTGCTTCAAAGAAGAAATGATCTCTGAGACACGTGATATATTGTCAGCGGCTAAAATGGTCTAATTATTAAAAATAAAATTTAAGTAAAAGTAATTAAATTGACTAAGTTGGGAATTTTGGAATTTTCTCGAAATAGACAGAAATATGGTGTTTTTGGGAAACGCGACCTAATCTTGACGGGTACAACACCTGGGCAACCTGCTTTTAGAATTATTTTGGTACAGAAAACATGTCAGTCGGTCTTGGCTACATATTATACTTAAAAGAACTACATATTTTGAAAAGTGCTGAAAACGTTCTAGAAACTGAAATCTCGCAAACAAGTAAAAGTTTAGAAAAATGTCTTTTAAGTGTTCTGCAACGGTTTTTAGTATTCTTAAACACAAACTCATTTTGTAAAAGTGCAAACAATACACAAACGGATAAAATCCATTTACTTATGGATAATTTTTAATAGCGATTATCTAACGGGTGGCGCATAAAGAACCGGACTCGTTTGTTTTGCCTATAACTCCGTCAGTTTCAATCTTATCGATCCAATTTTTTCTCCAAAAGATTCCCCATTCAATTCTCTACAAAACCATGTACTCGTTTTTTTCAGATTCTTCTACGACGAAAAAATTTTTAATCATGAAAAGTAAAGACCTCCAAAAACTGGTACTTTCCAAGCATCAAACTGGAGAAACACCCAGCAAGATATTTCGAAATTTGAAGGATGCCATTAGTCGTACTCAGGTTTTTCAATGGTGCAAAATGATCGCCGAGACTGGCTCTATTGAACTGTCAACGTCTCCAGGTCGACCTCGTATTATTCGAACAAAAAATACGATTTGAAAAGTTAAAAACCGTTTAAAGCGGAGGAAACGCGTCCCAACTCGAAAACTGGCCAGTGAACTTAAAATTTCAAGAAGAAGTGTGCAGAGAATTTTGAAAAATGATTTAGGCTTAACGTCGTACAAGAAAAGAATCGAACCACTACTCACAGACACTCAAAAAGCTAAACGAATCACGTTTGCAAATTGGGTTCGTCACAATTTTTCGAAAGAACAATCTTTGAGAATTCTTTTTTCTGACGAGAAAATGTTTGATCTCAATGGTATGTACAACTGTCAAAACGATCAAGTCAGGGCTGTAAATCGTGCCGAAGCTGATAAGAATGGCGGCGTTAAATAAAAACAGCAATTTCCACAAAAAGTCATGGTTTGCTTAGGTGTTTGTTCAGAAGGTGTAACTCCTTTGGTTATTTTGGATAATGGCACAGTAAATCATCAACGACATATCGATGAAGTACTTCCTGTGGCTCTAAAGTATGTAAATAACGTGTTTGGAGATGATTGAACGTTCCAGCAAGACGGTGCCAAGCCCCATATTCACCAACTTTCTCAAAAATGGTCAAGGGGGGAAAAGCTGAGAACTGAGATTTTTGAGATATTTGAGTTTTTTGAGATATTTGAGTTTTTTGAGATATTTGAAGTTTTTGAGTGACAAACGCATTCACATTTGTCGACGACGGCGCTATACTGCTGCTTACATCTTTTTTCTTCATTCCCTCATCTGCAGATGTGTAGCGAGCGATCACAGAATGACCTACGCTAACAAGATATCAACATAAAAAAATTCAGTTTTCACATCGTTACACCCGAATGTCCCTTCCTAGGGACGTTGAATTCACAGCGTCTTTGCGCAGAGAAGAATGCTACAAAAAATTTGTTCTTTGATTTCATTATAAAGTAGATTCATACAACCAAAACTATCAACCACAAAATTAGAAAATGATTTAGTGACTAAAAGTATAGAAAATATTTAAAAACAAAAGTTCATTTGTGAACTTCATTCAGTTTTAAAATTCAAATATATCGGATTAAAGTGGAAAATTTTTCTTCGTATTTCAATCAAATATTAGATTACTTTATTGTCTTACATTACAATACTCGTCAAAAGTAGCGGGCCACCTGTAACCCAAGAACCATGATAGCTAGGGACTTCTAACTTTGTGTGGGCATAGCTCTTACTGAATGCTGATCATCCACCAAGTTTGGGCCCGTTTTACTAGATGGTTTGTGCGATATAAGCGTTTTACTTCTTTTTCGTAAAATGCTAATAA